TTAACTGCACGTTTTAAGAGCTACTGTAAATGGATGTTTGCTCAGAGAAGTAAGGTCAGGGGACATAATCCGTGTTCATTAGTTCATTGATATTAACTCACTATTTTGACAGCACTATTATTAAAATGCACTTTCCAGTGCTGCTTGTGTCAATTCTTAACTCACTCATATTCACTGTACTGAGGTCAAAGCAGAGACTCAAAGGCAGTGATTGAAAACATGATCAGTAGGGCACTTTACTGGCTTGTAAGAGAGAACAGCCGAGAAAAAGAAAAAGTGTTGGCTAACTTTCTCCAGTTCTTTCAGCGGAGCTCCTTCCTTCCTCAGCGGTCCAGCTCCAACACTTGCCATGGTATCCCTCCTTTGACTTCTGAAGGTGACCGCTCTGAACCTGCACCGCTGCACCGCTCCACTGTCCCCACCATCTCCTCCTTTGTCTGGGTCATATGCAAACACACACATACATGCACGTGCAAGAAAGACAAAAAGAAAAGGCAACACATGGACAAACTGTTCAGAACATTACTGTACTTGATACTTTCAGGGAAACTGAAGCATTTACTGTGAAGGTAGAAGATGTAATGGGATTTTTTTTAAAGAATCTACTGTAACTGTCCAAGTCTTTTTTTCTCAAAGAAAGACAACCAGGAACAAAAATCATAGCAGTAAAAAAACAGCGTCCCTCATTCCGGGCACACATATAGGCTATACCTTGCGATGAATTTTGACCTGCTCGTCTCCATACTTGTTGATGTCCCGGATTAGATCGTTCATCTTTCTCATCAGCTCGAGGTGACAGAGGGCCAGTTTGTCTGAAGAAACCCGGAACACGTCCCACATGGGAGCAAAAGTCCTAGAAAACACACAACATATGCATCAAGCAAACACACACACGAGACTGTGAGGCTCAAACAGTTTGTTCATCTAAGATCTATTAAAAGTGTGAGACTATGAATATGCTTTAAAATGACTTTTTCAAGATAAACTCTTTTTCTTTTCTTATTCTGATGGCACACGGACAAAATACATGACATGACTTTTTCTTTTTTTTAAGTGACCCCCCTGAGCCTGAACAAAAACATAACAAATGCAACAAGTAAATATTTCAAACTACAGCATAAACCTGTGTGTTCATGCTGCAACGCATCAAAGTATAAAGAAATTAGAGAAAAAACATTTCAGTTCCTCTAACAGCTTAATGTCTGTGTTGATGGCTGTTATATATTTAGTCTGAACGAAAATGTGTCATACAATAGATAACATATGGGCATTATTTGAATGACATATATGGACATTTGCTGACGCAGATGGTACTCATTGAATTATCATGTGTTGCCATATGTGTGATTTACATAGAAGCAAACATGTTCCAGCCATATAGATTCAGCTCTGAGGTACTGAAAGAGATGGGAGAACGGTTAGTTGGAGAAGTTCAGCTGTCTTGAGCTGAAAAGGCTCTACTCACCCCTGTGGACTTCCATTGCTTGCCATCTTTGCCAGTTTGCTCATTGATTTGGAGTACGTCTCCTCGATAGCAGCACTGCAAAAAGCAAACGCACGTATATACCGTAAGCAGAATAATAAAGAAACTCTAATGTTGGTGCAACAAGGGAAATATGGGGTTACAATGGCTACAACCAAATTCTAAACCTCCTTACTAAAGTCTAAATGACCAGTAATTGGACAGGAAGAGTGATGTTGTGTCTGTTCCTTAAAATGTAAATCCTTGTAATAGACTTTAGACTGGTGAATCTAATGCACTCCAATAGCACTTCTTCTGCTAATGGCCTCATATGTTATGTTCTCTATCTACTGCTTCCTTTGCTCCAAACTCCAGCACGAGCCAGAAAAATAAAGATGGATGTAGGTCCGTGTTGCAATGAGTCACATGTAAATGATGAATGGACTTGTTTTCCAAGGCTGAGCATGAAACTTTAATATCCATCTGTAGACCCTGAAGAGAAAGGGGGGGGGGGGGGGGCATTGATCCAAATGTCCTGAGGGAGAGCTGATCTACTTCTACTGAAAGTCACAAACAAACACATGTTCCGACACTATCCATCTTTAGAAGTGATGCTGAAACAATACTGGAACTCAAATTCTGTCTGAAAAAAAGGATAACAAATATTTTCATTTTAGATTAACTCGAAAAGTTAATGGTCAATTTAAGAAGATATGAACAAATCACTGCAAAGACTCCACACTACATATTTCTTCAAAAGCTGCTTGGATCATTATTTATGATAACTTTTCAAACGATATGAGACGATTTGAGATTTTCAGAATAACATAACAGACAAGTAATGTTTTAATCAAAATCCGTTTCTGTCAGGCAAAATATGACTTTAAAATATCCCAGTTAGATTGTCCATTGATTTTGACCAGGAACCTAATGCTGTCTGTGTGGAAAAAGGTGTGCTCTTGAATAACTCTGCAGCCATTCATCTCTTTGATAGATTCAGTTTTCTAATGCACATTATCTTGAGTCTTTTGAGTACCACTATGTTGACTGCTGCAACACATGTTGACTTTATTTGTTAATTATCGCCAAAATGTAACGTATTGAAAATTGGTAAAAAAATAAATTAAAGTCTTGTATTTAAAGTGAGTGAAGTTCAATTTGTTGAGATGTTTGGGTAATTTTAATTGAAAGAGAGGAAAGTACAATATAATAGTAAAAGGTAATTGAGACTATTTTGAAAAAATGTAAGACACTATAGTTCTCAAAACAGCAACCTGTAAAAAGATTAAACAAAACAAAAGTCTGTTCATTAAAAATTAAGTTTTACTAATTGATTCAATCATTGTTTTAGCCTTAAACTTGTTATTTCAGCACCACTTAATGATCCGTCCTTTCAAGAGGCAGTTCAACAGAGAGATATTATAAAGACCCAGAATGAGGGAAGATAATGTAACATGAAGCCCGATACTTTAAAAGACTGTTTCATATTACTTATATCAAAATGACCTTTCCTGCAAGTGGAGCAAGGAAAAGATGGAGGACATTTATCGACACAATTGCCTCACTTTGTCCTGTGGGATGGCACACTATTTTACCACAATGCCCCTTCTTCATTTCCTGACTGCTGATTTGTTGTCTGTTTCTGTCCCTGCAGATAAGTGAATTTCCCCCTGTGAGGAATTTGCACAGAAGGTCTGACTCTATATCAGGATTATATCACTGTTCTGATAGTGTGCTGCGTGTGTGTGCGTGCGTGTGTGCGTGTATTGTTAAATAGTGAAAACGATTTTAATAAGGTTATTGTCTGCTGTTCTCGTCGACTACTGGTTAGCTTGTCAAGCTTTCACTCTATTTAATAATAGTAATGTTTGTAGGTTAATCAATTAACTCAGGATATGGAGAAGATGTTAACTTCTAACCAGAGGCCTCTGCTATCACCTCCCATGTTGCAGCTCTTTAAAACCCAGCAGTTACAGTCATGTTAGAAGATAAAGCTCTGTATTGCAGCAGGATAATCCAGCTATTCAGGCTTGTGTGAGTTTTTGAGAGAGTGCATTTCAAAAGTAGCACCGTTGTGATGACTGGGGTCAGAGATCGGAGCATAGAGAGAGAGGACTGGAGCAGTTTTAACAAAGAGAGACTTGTTAAGAATTCTCTCTAAAATCTGCATTCTGCTTACAGGACTATAAAACTGAATTAATCATGAACACCTCTTTAGATCCACCGAGACATGAAATACTTAAAAAATGTATTCTTGAAGTCTTTCACCCAACCTTGGCACAAACTAGCATCTTTCTTTGTACAGAGTCAAGAATGTAGAGTTTCTCCACCATCACCATCTTCCCCTCCCACACAGATATTCACAAATACAAAAAAAAAAACTTACCTCTCACGGACAAACTCAGCAAGCTCCTTGGTTGCCAGCTGGCCATGCTTCATGTTGTGGTAAAGCACGTCAAAACCGGCATTCTTCTCCCCCTGTCAGGGTGCAAAAAAAACCACAAATACACACACACACATATACCGTCTGTTAGCACCCAAAGGAGAGCCAGCATTATGGAGAGTTTGTTTTTCAGTACAGTGATATCACAGTTGTTTTTAATCCAAACCTAATTACATCTTGCCAATGATGTTCAGTCACTACAAATTAAAATTGTACTATCACTCTTACAACAACATGAAAATAAAGGAAAACACAAAACCAGTTCTGGATTGTGTTTTAAGGTTCCTTCACTTACTCTGTCACATACACAACAATATACTGATTTCTAACATACATGAGGTAACAAATCCTTCATCAGATCCTTAAAAAATGTTTTACCATGTAATTAAAATGAAAAAACTAACAGACAAAAGACAAAAAAAAATCCAAGTTTCAGTTTTTATTTAAGTTTGCTTTTTTGGTTGCTCAGTCAGTCTGTTGTGCGCTTTCTTTTGTCTCTCTCTCCATCCCTGATATGTTCTGTCTTGCTATGAAACTTGTCTGTTGGGAGGATTAATATGTATATATAGAAACAGAAAGTGAAATATCGTCAAAATGATTCTCTGAAGTGGCAACACTGTTAAATAAGAAAACATGTATAGCTTCATTTTGGGATTTCCTTCTAGTAGTTGTTGTGTATTTGTGCCCCCCTTTAGGCCCTGGAAGGGGTAAACGTTGGTGGATAATATATATAAAAAGGAAATAATCTTCAGAAAAGGTAAAGGGGTAATAATGGACTTGAAGTGTCTAAACGTGAACATTCTGGTTGGCTTTTTTGTTTTTGATTTTGAAAATTAAAAAAATCTGAGAATCGAAAAAGTCCAAGTGCTCTGAGTTTTCTGTTGAATCTTTCATCATAAGAAGTACACTGATTTACACAATGCATTCAACATGAAACACAATGCATGTAAAACTCTCTCTTAATCCTTACTTTGTTGTGATTGTGCTCATGACACACACTGAGTTTTTATAGGAAAATCTATTAAATTCATTTAGAGTCATTTGAAATGTAAACAGAGGCTTTTTAAGCAGCATGCTGTCAATGTGCTCGCTGTGTCTGACACCACCCTGTGGCAGCAGTTACAGGCATTAAAAATACAAAGAAACAATCAAGCTTATTGCTGATGTAGTTTCTTTGTTAGTTACGTCTGAGGGACAAACCTGACAATTTGGGTTTTGCAGAAGTTTCACTGTTTAGTTCAATTACCATACATGAGGTCATGAACTGCTGCTGCACTCCCCGAAAACATATCTCACTATTTGTTGTTCATCTGTCGAGCAGAAGACCCACAAAGCGAACGTGACTCATGAGAAGTGAGAAGACCACAGTGCAGGGCTGCTGTTGAGAAAAGAGTTGCCAGCTTTGCAGCTATAAACAGATTTACCTCAGACTACAGCATCACCTCACAGATGATGAATTACACAAAACTACATCTGTGTTAGCTAAAATCTTCATAATCCTGAAAGATGCTGACTGAGGTTGCATCATTACAAATAGGCTGCGTCATTTCTCGAGCTCAGCCACATTTTTCAGTCAACAGACGGCCAGGCTGTGTGTGCAGACGTGGACACAGACAGCTGCTTCTCAGGGCCTAAAAATACCCCGTCGGAGGAGAACAGGCCTGTTACCAGGTACCAGGGGAATGGCTGGAATGCCAAGGAAGGGTCACCCAAAACCACTCATGCTAATACACACATATACATCACACACACACACACACACACATTTTGAGAAGCACAGTAGAGACACAGTCAGGTACACTGGGTTCCTAGCACTTATGATGAAAAGCTAAGTTCTAATGTTCTAATAATCGTCAGAGACAGGTTGATACGATGTGACTGAAAACAAACAAGTAAGCTCAGCCGCAGAAGCGTCACTGCTGACATCAGCTGAATAAGTCAATGTCCCTGAGCCTTGTCTATTTAAAATTGTGAGCATCCATACGCTGGTTAATGCTTTAAAGCTTTCAAAACTTATATATATATCTCTTATATCTGACAGGACATCCAGTCAAATTAAGTGTTGTACGCTTTTATCAGTAATGTCAGCATTAAAATACTTTGATGGATTGCTCCATAAAAAGAGAAGACATAAATAATCAATCAAGTTCACAATGTATCAATCTCATTTTCCTTGTTCTCAACTACTTCAAGTCTTTTTGTTATGAGATCGACTGCTAAATATCTTCGAAATGTATAGTCGTACCTAAGTAACTTATATGCTTAAAACCAAGTTTGTGAGAGGATTTGTAAAAAAAAAAGAAAAAAAAGAACGCTTTATAGAGTCTACCACTGTTTAAGAAAGTAAGGAGGATAAATCAATAATGAAAATCTTTTTCCTTCACCTGTCCTTACATAGGACAACATGTGCACACGACTGCCTTTCTGCTTCACTTCTTCCATTACAAAAAGCTTACAAAACAAGCTAAGGCTAAGATTTTCATCTCTGCAGAGAAATGTCAGATCAGCTGTGTTTAAAAGGTCAGTAATTAATTGACATCAAAGAAAAATACAGCTCTTTTTTCATGAAAGCTTTACAAATGTAAACCACTTTACAAATGTCATATTTCATGTTAAGAGCGCCGCAAGATCAATCCTGCTCATGGCAAATCTAACGGTGCGATCACAGATATCTTATCTCGACAAATGCCATCTGATCAAAAACATCAGAATAACGTTCAAAATGCCTCCAGCGATGAATGAGATAACAAGTTTTTGTGTTTGTAATTTGGGTGATATGGTCTCTAATGCCTCTGTATACCATCAAGGTAATAACGCAAATAAGAACTTCATAAATTGTTTTGTTTTTTTGTTATACTGCTAATGTTTCAGCTTTATTCAGTCAAGAAACACAATCCTGTAAGAGAAGAGCTGCCACTGCTTAAGAGCTGATTTAAATGTTACCATCAAATAGAGTATATGTTCAATACTATCTTCTCCCTTTTAAATTTAGTATAAGGTTTGTATTATTGCACCTTCACATGTGCTTTATAAACAGTAGACAGGAGTTCAACAGGCGGTTAATGTTGTGAAATGACGGGTGGTTTGCAGGCAGCTTTTGTTGAAACTCTACCCTCTCAGTAGAAAGGTGAGCTGGCAGTCTGAGCCCTCAAAACACACAAACACTCACACACACCTGCCTCTCCACAGCATCTGTCTTCAGTATTTTATACAGCTAGCAGGCTTCTCTGTCGGCTGTGTGCTTCAAAGAGCTCAACCATAGCCTGTTGATTATTACAGTGCTTAAATGGTATCTGATACTGATAACAGCAAGAAGCATATCTGAAAAGCAAACTTATAGCTTATAGCTATCCTATCCAAATAAAGGCAAAATCCCCCAAAATAATCTTTGAAAAAATAACCCACCTGTTTGCATTAATTTGTTTAATCAGATGTGTATCCTGTAATGACAGTTGGGTGTGTAGCTGTTTTCTCCAACTCTTTGTCTGTTACCAGATTGATCAAAAGTTAGATGCAGTAATTCTAATATGGTGAACGCCATCGTTGCGGCTTAAAGCCTCTTTTTTAGAGACCAATATGTTAAATGTTTGATACAGTTTATGGTATGGGCTTAAGCCAACGCTACAAAGATTTGATGGCCTAATGAAGTCCTAATAATAATTTATAATGAATAGGGATCGATGCTTTCTGTCATTAATCGAGCATTATGCCAAACGTTTGCTGGTTGCAGAATCTTAAATGAAAGGATTTGCTGCGTTTTGATGTCATGTTATGATGGTAAATAAAGACTTCTTGGTATCAAATGTTGGATGAAAAAAGCTATTTAAAGTCTCTAGGCTCTTGAAAATTATGATTAGCCTGTTTAACATGTTATATCATAGCGAAAAGGATCAATCAGGAGGGTGATTGGCAGATTAATAGATAACATGATTGTTGCACGGGGTTAAGTGCCTCTCGGTAGGAAGGTATTAAAGACGGAAAGACAAACGGTTGTTTCCAAACTGGAACTTCATGCATCACAACCATAGAATATTCCCAGCACTTTGTTTAAAAAAGGATATACTATTCAGAGTTAGTTATAGCTAACTAACAAAAAAATGACACGTCGCCCCAGGTTAAAAATTGAAATTGCCTTTTGTAATGCTTCTCATTGTCTGTAAACACATGCCTCAGCCTGGCAGGTGCACCATAAATGAATGTGCATTATCCATTACAAGTCTTTATTTAGTCTGAACGCTCCAGCACTAACCCTGTGCATGTTCAAGTGTGCAGGTTCTTGATTGAGCAACCAACTGTGAGCAGGTACTAGAACACGGTGAGTCATGCCATGCAATCTAACAGCAGATCAGATTTAACCCACTGGCAGTCTTCAAGTTTCTTTAAGTGTCGTTATGTATTCTTTGGGCCTTCTGTGAATGAAAATCCTGCATGTCTGATATATGCAAACCCCCTCTTCTCTCCACTCTTGGTGATCTCTTTTTCATCAATTAAGTTGACCATTTTGGTCACGCACGATGGAGTCCATTACCATCACAATGAGGGGACTGATGGGAGAGACGAAGAGAGGGGTGGAGGGGGTCTACGGGAGGTGTAAAATCTGTACAACTTTCTCATGAAGACTGAGACTTCTGCAGACTGCTGAGAGCTATTGCGGATCAGTGGAAATTTGTTAAGGGGGATGGTAAGCAGCAAGGAAATTATCATTTTATCTCACTAAATCAAATGGAGGAAATGTGAACCCTGATTTTCTCCTCCTTCCTCCAACTGTTCAGATCATCACCAAAATGGTTAGGGCCATTTAACTTTAAAATAAGGTGTGCTGATCTACAATCCCAAATCTCTTTGGAAAAAAACAACAACATTTTTGATACAGAACATCTGCACGACTTTTAATGTTGAAGTATTCACACTCCCAAAACCCTCCAAATGCTCATTTAAAGCCAAGTTTAGTTCTTTAGGGGAGAACAAACAGATTAACCTGGATCAACAACTAGGGTCAGCCAAGGGTCAGTTATTTTAACACATGTCAATGATG